CAGTATGACAGTGTCATCAGCATATCGCAGGTTATTTATACATTGCCCGTTTATAATTATACCATCCGAGGTGCCTTCCAAAGCTTTCTGAAAATATCTTCTCAGAGTAAACATTGAACAGCAAAGGTGATAGGACACATTCCTGTCTTACTTCCTTCTCGATATTGATTTTTCCAGATGTTTCGTTTTTTATTCTGAATTTAGCCTTTTGTTCTTGGTAGAGGTTTGAAATGATCCTTAAGTCCTTAGTGATCTCTACTCCTAGGTAATTGAATTTTATTACTTGTTCTACAATTTTGCCGTCTATTTCTAGTTTGCATCTACGCGGCTCTTTACTGATCACTATACATTTGGTTTTTTCTACTGATATTCTCATATTAAGTTTGTTTGCTGTGATATTGAAGGTGTGGAGCTGCCTTTGTAGGTCATCTTCGTTATCAGCAATTAGTACTGCATCATCGGCATAGCATAGTATCGTGATTTTATGCGCTCCATGTGGTATCCGTGTCGTTTTCTTACTTCGTGAATTATTTGATTCATCACCATATTGAATAACAATGGGCTGAGCGAGTCTCCTTGGCGGATTCCTCCTTTTAGTTCTATGCATTCTGTTTCTCCTGTTGGCATTATAACTCTGGTTTGTTGTTCTTGTTAATTTCATTAATTGTCCTTATTATCTGATGGTCTATTTGTTCAGCTTGTAATAAATTTAAGATGTCATTTCGCTTCACCCTGTCAAAAGCACTTTTTAAATCTACAAAGCACATGTATGCTGGTTTTCCATATTCAATAGACTTCTCTATTATTTGTCTGATAATAAAAATTGCGTCTATTGTGCTGCGGTTCTTCCGGAAGCCTTGTTGTTCATCTGCCATGTTCGCTTTTTCCTCGATTTTATCTTTTATGACTGCCGTTAACAATTTTAATGTACTATTCATCAGACTAATGCCTCTATAATTTTCAGGATTTCTTGAGTCTCCCTTTTTAAGTATCGGTAGCAGGAGACTTTCTTTCCATTCCGCTGGTACTACTCCGGTATTTATTATATCGACGAATAATTTTAGGAGCCATTTGCGTAGTGTTCCTCTCCATATTTTAGCAGTTCATTGTTTATCTTATCAGGACCAGGTGCTTTTCGGTTTTTTAATTTTTTTATTCGTTCTTGTAGCTCTTCTTCTGATATTAGTACTCTATCGTGGGTTTCGTTAATGATTATTTCTCTGTTCTCTTCCTCTCCTGCTCCATATAATTTCGTGAAATGCTCAGTCCATTGTTCCTCCGTAATGTTATCTATGCGTACAAATTCATTCATTTCTGTTTTTTTGTCTCCTTATCTCTTCCACACCTTTTCTGGGATCCATAGAGGTCGTATTCCATATCTTTGGTAAATTTCTCCCAGTGTTCTTTTTTTATGTTATCTATTTCTTGGTTCACTCTATTCCTTATTCTCATGTAGTCTTCTTGATTTACCACTTAGTACCAAAATCTCAGAAGATCAGAATAGCCATGATGATTGCCAACCTCCGTCGCGGAGATGGCACGTCAAGAAGAAGACCAAAATCTCGATCATCAGATGCTATGTAATTTCTACATTATTATACGGAGTAGACGCATGGACCCTCTCTGAAGTTTTTTAGGAAAGCTCAAGGCCTTCGAGATGTAGTGTTACAGGCATCTTAAGAATTTCATGGGTGGATTGTTTGAATAATGTTGAGGTCCTTACGGGCAAGGAATGTGAGATCACTAACATAATCAAAGAGCCCAAATTGGAATATCTTGAGCATGTTATAAGAAATGAACACATAGTTAAAACCTCCTACATTTTTCCAATGTGAAGATTTGATCTTGGCCCACGACTCAGCACACCAATAAACCATGTTTCATTGTTAAAAATTTGAGAATTTCGGCAACACTTTTGAATTCATTCGTCTCCTGTAATAACAGATATCTTAAGGATGCTCCTCTATAATGTCTCCATTACTCCCTGGTCTAACAGCTAAATTAAGCTCGTGACATTCGTTGGCAAAATCTGACAATTGTCACCATTTTGTAGAATTTGAGGGTGAGTTGGTGCAATGTCAAGAAGCAACAATGCTTTAATGGAAGGTTTTTTGATTTTAAAAAGGATTTTACACTTAGGACGAATTCATTTTCCAACCATTCTGAAAATAAAGTGGTCGACATCCATGAGCTTTTTTGGCTTCTATATAAAACTGAACAGTGCTTTTTCGGAAATATCTTTTAGAGTTCTTGTTTTTTTTTATATCTCAATCGGTGAGTAAAATTAATGGAACTGTTTACGTTTTGCGATTAAAAAGTTACTTTTTATTGACGAAAATTATTGACACTGTCAGCCGTTTCGGTTAAGGGAGGTTTTACTGTATATATATATATATATATATATATATATATATATATATATTATATATAAATATTATATATATATCTTATATATATATATATATATATATATTTATATATATAATATTATATATATATATATTATATATATATGTCACTAGAGACCAGGGAGAAGAAGGAATATCTTGGCTTTAAAAACTAAGGAATTGGTTCAATACGTATACAATCGGACTATTCCGAATAGTACAAGTAAAGTTAGGATAGCTATGCTGATCGCCAACATCGGAATTCATAGGCACGTAAGAAGAAGAAGAAGAAGATCTGTACGTTCTGTTGTGATTTACTAAGGTTATAGAGCAAAAACATTATCAGTATTCTCGTGACAAAATGAGAGTTATTGATGATTCACGTGATTTGGAACGGCAACAATCTTTAGTAGATAGTGCAGATAGAGTGAACAAATTACTAGCATCGTTGCGAACAAATGAAGCCAGTGACGAACAAGTTAATCTAGAATGTCAAGAATTTTTTAACCTCCTCTGTGGCTCAGTGGTAAGAGCGCCTACTTTAAACCTAAAGGTCGTGAGTTAGAATCTCACCTGGGTGGAAATTTTCGTTTATTAAAAAAATTAATAAATAAAAATAATTTTATCCTTGTGTGCTCGGTATCACCAGAGGGACCGAGGACGGTTTCGGATACAATTAGCGTCTCTTAGACAAAGACAATGACGTCGACTTTGCTAAGTATCAGACAATTACTCTACACCATTAACACACACATACACACACTACATTAATAAACTTATCTTGATTGAGACTGGCTATGCATGACAATTGTCCATCCAAAACACCACACAAAAAAAAGACAAGAATTTTCATCTTATTCTGAACTTGAATGAATCTTGGTAGTGACTATTCTACATGATTTTACTTTGAATCCATCGTTTTATAATAATGCGTTTCTCATGACACATTCATAAGCTACTTATATACAAACAGAGTGATGAGAGTCTGATAACAAGGATGAAGTTGCATGTGTTTCGGAAAATATTTATAGTTTTTGGCAAAATTACATTATTGCCCTTATCCTTTTCGGTGTATGATGAGAATAATTGTAAGATTAAATGATAACATAGATCTAACTACATTGCTCGAAGAAATTAAGGACCATCTACAAAAACAAAAACAGCGATTCATTGGTGTTTTAAATTTAATTGTATTCACTTTTGTATTGAACGTACCATATATTTTGAATGTTTTTATCAGGTTACTTGTTTTGCTTTTTGTTTTAATCGGTTTTTTAGGAACACAAAACAAGGACATTTGTTAATTCCATAAGAGGTTAGTGTATTTAGGGTCGTTGTGTGAACGATTGATATTTTGCTTTGTTTTAATCAAAATGCAACGCGAAACCAAGAACTTTGGATAATGAAGAGTGTGCTCAAATAGTGGTTTTGCACGAAGAAGGTTGGAGTTATAAAAGTTTAGGGGAACGGTCGGTGTACACTATACGATTGAACAAATAAACGGGAAACATACAATTTAACTAATGTCTGTTTGAACTGCATTTGAAATAGTGGACCGATATATAAACTTGGACAAAATAAATCCATACCTGGGTAATAGACATTGTATAAAATATCGTTCAACTATCTGTCTACTTTAAGAACGCACCGTAGTCTAAGAGCAACGCCCAAATAAATCGGAATTATTTGCCTATATTTTTCATTGTATTTACCAATCTACAAACAGACTAATAACAAAATAAACTTAATGTAGTTATTTCCTTTCTTTCCTGTAATTACTATTTTATGGTTTACAGGAAAGAACACCTTATTTGAGAAACAGCTAGAGGAAATGAATAGCGGCAACACCGCTCTGGGCAAGGGCTGGTCTTAGGAAGCGAGAGTGGTTTGACAGCATAATAAAATCTAGTCTAGTTTTCACAGTGATTCTAGGCTGTAAGTCGCTGTAATGCCGCTGTTGCAAGATTTAAAATATTCCATCAGTTTCAAAGAATATTTCAAATTTATAATAAAATAATTATTATGGAAGTTCTTCAAAAAGAGAAAATATATTTGGGTTATGTTGACTGCTCTAAACTAATCATTCCCCCAAAGTTCATTAAGTCAAAGTGAAATAGTTTTTACTAAGTAGTACTTGTAGAACTGCAGTACAGATAAGCTTGATATCATAAAGAATTTCTACGTCCTTGGAAATCAATATATTGCTGTTCCAGAAGTATAAACACATAATTGTAAAATTTTGAAAAATGACTTTATTGTGTTGGATAGTTCAAAACTGCATTTTCTATATATTTTTAAATCATCATAACTGTACTTACGGAATCACCGGTCATGGCGAAATTCGTAAGTACAATTACGACGATTTACAAATATGTTGAAAATGCAGTTTTGATCCTTCCAACACAATATTTTTCACAAAGTCATTTTTCAAAATTTTACGGTTATGTCATTATACTTCCGGAACAGCGATATATCCTATCACTTTGCCATCGTTGTTTGAAAGTGGAATCTTATTTTGTCTTTCAAAATTATGATTCGACTGTTACTGTTCCTGTCTGTGAGTAGGTATCTTAGCTGGGTGTAACATATATTCTACTCTTTTATATTCTGCAAGAATTTGAGTACTATCTTATTTGCAGAAACTATATAACAGGCCTCCTAAAATCCAGCTTTGGTTTGATTCTTCATGCTTTAGTATTAAAAACAAAACTTAAATTTTAAACTTAAAAAACTTAAGATATGTAAAAACATAACTTTCTTGAACCTTTTAAAACAGAATATTAAATAGCTGAGAAAATTTATATCGCATGTTAGGATTCGATCAATTAATTTTGTACTCAGCCTGAGGTCTTCTTTAAGTCAATAAATCAAAATTTGTCTTAAAGGAAATCTGTTTTTATATCATATTGTATATGGACATTTTCAGATTGTGAGAACAATTTTTGACGTTTCTGGTTTGTTTACTTTTGTGGCTGTCAGTTTGTTGACTATTTTGCTATTTTTTGTCCTGTTTTTACATTTTGGAATTATTTATATTACACAAACAGTTATTTTCACAACTAACTTTATATTGCAGTTGAAAATTTTATGGTAAGTGTATTTTAATTTGCCCTTAATTTTCCTTAAAGTTAACCTTATTCACACAGATTGTCATAACCATTTTCTGTCACTTTTTGTTGCTTTGAGTAAATTTCCGACTGATTTCGTATGTTTTAAATCATGACGCACGGGTAAAGATAAATTGACTCAACTGAAATATGTTGTTATTGAATTCGTTATTGATCGAATTTCATGGCATGTGATTTCTCTCATCAATCGTGAGAAAAATAAATAAATAACGAACATTTTCCTCCGGTTGGCAACACTGCTGAAATGTACAAGTGTAGGTTTCAATTTTTATACGTGATGGGCGGGGCAACCTTTTTGGGGGAGTTTTCACCTGTTTTAAACAACGAATTCAGAATCCAGCCGCACGTTGAAGTATTGGATTTGTATAATATAATTATTTGACAACCTTTTGTTGGCTAAGCACCTAAAGCGATAAGTAGATCCGATATACATGTATTTCCTATGTTCGGTTTTAATTTGGGTTCAATCTGTATATCAGTCTCACGAATGGTGGAACGGTACAGAGAACGGTAGTCTAAGACAAGGTCGACATGGTGTAACAACGTCTGTTTCACGACTTCGCCCCTTAAGACAACGATTTGTAAGTCCAGAAGCTTAAAGGTGTTGTTTATGTTTTACTCGTTGTTGAAACTGTTCGCCAACGCCTCAAAGAATGTATTTTATGGCCAGACTTGCCCATAGTTCATCGCAGAGCGCGTTTAGAATTTTGTTTTTAGGCATGACCGCACGTTGCAAATATAGTGCAAAATTATCTGGAGGAAGTTGGAATCGATGTTATGGGATAGCTAGCGAATAGTACCGATCTTAATACTGTAGAGAATGTTTGGAACTTGCTAGGTAGCCGTCTGCGGAATTCTCTTAATCAACCAAACACTCTGCAGGAACTGGACAACGTCTTTTTTGTCGTCGAACGTTCAATTTAGCACGAACTGGATGAGAATATTTTAAGACCGTTTATTTTAAGTATATATCGTCGATGCCAAGCTGTCATTCGTAGCAGGGGTGGAAATACGTCTTATTAAGCAAAAACACTTTAAATTTTTCACAAATCTATTTGTTTTACAAACTAAAGTAATACGAAATAAAACGCGTTTCAGTAAATATTTTCCTATTATATACAGTGCACCCATAAAGTAACACAAACATAATTATTAGCTATATAAACAACATTTCTTCAGATTTCTGAGGTTGTACTTCTAGGATTGGTATTATATCTCTTTTTTTTTTAGTATGGAGTTGTTGCCCCCATATCTCAACCTCATTCCAGAAGAATCGGTTGATGTTTTACCTATCAAATGTACCTATAGTTTCTAAAATGGTAGTCGGATTACACTTTGTTGGTAAACATGTTTGTTTTTCAAATCTTGCCAATTTCTGTATTTTAATGGACATTTCAGAACCGAAAGAAGCAAAAAAATACTATAAATAAAAAAATATTTATTTACAATTGAAAACGGATCCTATGTGTAATAAGTTATAAAATCTAACCTCTAACGCTTTAAAAATATTGGCACATGGGTGGCCTGCATGTTTTACAGTTAAAAATATAAACATCGAGATTTAACCTAAGAACAAATTTGAGTTGTCTACTTAAGCATATAAAATAACCAAATGTATTTACAACAACTAGAAGAGAAAAATAATGGTCACTTTTGATTTTAATAACTATGTTATGAATGCAGCTACACTACATAACATTTCGAATTGGTATTCAAATGCGTACATTTTATGAGATGTAGAGCTGGAAATATCACATCCGGTTGAAGGGACCATAAAAAGTGTTGCAAAATGTTTATTATACAAAGGAATAAAAGTTTGATATATTTCACTAATTTTTTACAAAACACGTATTGCAGTATAAAATAAATTTAACTTACTTTTATCGGTCTCAGAAAGGATTATGACAATTTTCCTACAATTACATGTAAAAAGCAATACATATTATCTGCATAATAATTTTAACTATAGAACTTTTATATAATAATGTATCATTTTTTATATTATTTGCTTACTGGATATAGGAGCCAATACTTAATACTTAGATGGGCCAACTAAATAATAAAATATATCACGCTTTTTTTCACTTGTATATAAACTTTAACCGTTCAACAAATAAGTTAAAAATATTGATATTAAATAAAAAAAAATAAATTCTAATATATCCGCATAGCTAATATGTATTTCATAATGTTTGACAGCGCGCCAAAGAGTCAAAAGCAGCACACCATTTCTCGGAAGACACATTTATTCCATTATCTATTTATAGTCCCATCATTCCGATATTAGCTTCCTAATTTATTGAAATTTGTCAAATATTTCAATTAGGTATCTACTGTTAGTTTCAACCTATTCCTATAAGCCAAGAGCTTACTGAATCTTTACTCATGGGGTGGTTACTGATTAAATAGGTGTGGGAAAAAGTGTTAAAAAGGGGTATAAGTGTTATTTACATAAATGTGAGTTGATGCAGTGATAAAGATGGAAGATGTTTGTGAAACTGTGAATTACTAGTAAAAGATATCTACTGAAAACTATAAAGAAGTTGTGAATCATATGATCAAAACATGGATAAATTTATAAAAAAAATCATAGCACCGTCGGTGATTTCTCAGGAATTTTTGGTAGTTCATGTAATTTCAGCGAAGAGTATGATGCTATAGACTAAATTGTCTATTTCCTTTAACATGTAAGTTTACTTAAACACTAACAAATTAGCTTAAGAGCGTAGGCGCAAAATTTCGGGCCAATACTTTTTTGATTCAATTTTTCGAATCCTGAGAAAACTAATAAATATTTTTGAAAAATTTAAACGCAGAATGAAAGGTTATATTATTACCGAGGGCCGAAAGTCCCTTAGAATAAACAAAAAGTTTCTTTTGAATGAGATATTTGAAATTAAAAATTACACTTAATTTTCTCTTCTTTTTCACCCCTGTAACTTACTAAAATAAACATTATAGAAGTTTTCAGAGACTTTCGGCTCTCGGTAATAATGTAATCTTTCATTCTGCGTTTAAATTTTTTCAAAAATACTTCTTAGTTTTCTCAGGATTCGAAAAAAATGAATGCTTTTGAAAAGCATTGGCCCGAAATTTTGCACCTACGCTCTTGATATTTTAGAATCATTTTGTAGAATATCATTTTCCTTTCCTAATGCTGTCAGACATTACGAAATATGATATAGTAGCTAAAATTACTCAATATGTTTGAGGTTATAAGCTATCCGGATAATTTATCAACATTATAAATTTGGATTACTTCAGGAAATAATGTTCATCTAATTTATCTTAAATAATGAAAAAGTTAAAAAAATCGGCTTTTTTATTGTTTTTCACTTACCGATTTTAAATTATTTCACGGTATAGGGTGTTTTAGAATTTCGGGCAATTTTTCTATAAGCACAGTGGAAAATAAATTTTAATTATACATTTTAGTTACAGTGTTATATAACGTTCGAAATTATCTTAGTCATTATAGAATTAAAAATGCAATGAAAATAATGTTTGTGTCAAAAAAGTTACATTTCAACTAAGCTAAACTTAACAGGCAGAATCTAATTTGATATATAATCTATAAACAGCCAGGAACAAGTGCGTAAACAATTACACGTGAAACAGATCGTGCTTATCGCTACAGAGACTAGGTGTCACTTGTCTCTTTTATCGTTATTAATAATCCAGTGAATTTGGACGATTCCAATCGACCGATGACAAGTTGGACAGTGAATATACCTTCTGAAAGATGATCACGCAATGATTTTTCTTGACTGTGAATATATTACAATAGGGCAGAAACTTTTAGTGTTAAAGCAAATATTTACAGATAAAAATTAAGTTAGCAGGTACTATTATTCGAGACAGTACAAAGGAAACTTTCGGCCAGTAAGTCACCATATAGGAGTAAAATGACAACTTACAAAACAGTAAGAAAATGTGACTAAGAATCTAACGAAAAACTGAATAGATAAAAATCTGGAAGCTATTTTCAAGTTAATCAACAAACGAAAATTTTAATGAAAACCTAACGCAGTCACTGTGAATAGAGTCAGCCACCCTGTATACACCAGTCTATATTTCCCTATTGTGCTCTACCAGCTATACTTCCCGGAGTTCGGGCAGGCAACCGCCTTCTTCCTGCCAGAAGCTTATTCAGTCCTCTAGGCTCCTCCGTTGTCGTGCTGGAGCTCGGAGCCGCAGCTTCCGTTTCGTCACTTTCTTCTTCAGCAGCCTCTACAGCCGCTTCCGTTGAAGATGGCTCTTGCGGAGCCTCACTGGATGGATTTTCGGTAGATTGACCGGGACGTTTTCGGCCTAGAAGTGGGTTGACTCTACGCACTTGGACTGGAGCGCTGGCTGCAGTTTTCTGGCGTGGCTGAACGTTGATTCTGTTTTTATTTCGTAAACGGGTTAATGGGGAATTATCTACTGGGGCTGGTGCTTCTTCCTGTAGGCATAAAAAAATTATTGCAGTAACACGTATTTCTTTAAAAAATACCTTTTTTGTGTCAAAATAACAGTCAGTTCACTTGGTTAAATTAGAGTAAATATGTGTCTTTTAAAAACTTAATATAATCAAATCAGTTCGGGAAACAGAATATTTGTTAGATTTCTTTCCGGTTATAGTTTTTTTCTAGAAGGAATAAAATGATGACAGGCCACTAGCACATGTATTGAAGTGATGTAATGAAGAATTGTCAGCATGTTTTAATGGCTTGTTCTAATTCGCACATTATTATTTTCGGTCCTGTTTGTTCCTGCGGTTATTCTTGTATCATTCTATCATCATCGAATAATTTAATTAAGTATTCTTGCCATAATCTTAGTTTATCTTTGATATCTGCAATGAGTTTACCATTATCATCTTTGAGTATCCCATAGTGTGCTCGCTGTAAGTATTTGTTAGTTCTTTTATTTTTTTTATGCATATTAAAGCTGTCATATTTTCTGTCATACTCTTCTATTTCATTGTATTGATCTGTTAACCACTTTTCTTGGCCTTTTTTATCTCTACTTTGCTGGGTGTATGAATAAAAAATGGCTTAGTTTAGTTATAGAATATTAAAAGGAAGATTGAAACATTTTTCATGGCAGTTAATAATAAAATTGGAAAGCTTATCTTGATAATCCATAAAATTACCTTTGGTTCATCGTGAGTTTCGGGTTCTTCATCACCAGCAACATTATCTTCTACCGGTGCAGATGATTCAGTAGTACTTGTAGTTGTTCTACTTCTACTTCCACCTAAGTTAATTCTAGCTCCTGGTCTTAATGGTCTCACAGCTGATCCTCCGCTAATTCTCCTCGGTTTGGCGGTAGTGCTAAAAAAATTAACACAATAACTATTTTGTTATATTATCTGTATATATTTACCTTGAGTCTGCGGGTGAAGATGCGTCATCCTTATTGTCATCATGTTCTGTTGATGGCGCAGCTGTTGTACGGCCTCTAGTTCTTAAACCTGGTCGTGATTTGGGAAGGGAAGCCCTAGACGGCGCTGAAGTACTAGATTCCTCTTTGGGCTCATCGGAGGGAGCTGCAGTAGTCCTTGTTCGTGTTCTGGAAGAACTGAATCGAGATCTGTTCACCGTAGGCTAGAAAATATTTAAAAACATTTGTATATCTGATGAATATTATACAATATTCAGATACGATGTTTAATAACTTACCCTTGACTGTCCAACAGGTTTTACTTCTTCCTGATTGACAGGTTCTTCAGCCGATGGGGCAGCAGTTGTTCTTGTTCTAGACCTTCCTCCAAAGCTGGGTCTTCCGTATTTACTCTTTTTAGGTTCTGAAGCAGATGCTTCGGTAGTGGTAGTAGTAGTTGTTGATTTTCTTCCTCCAAGGGTGCGTCTACCAGCACCGAATTTATTTCTTCCAAAACCTGTGGGCGCTTCAGTCGAAGGTGGGGGTAGTGGAGTAGTGGTAGTCGTAGTTGTTGTAGTAGTTGTTGTGGTTGTAGTGGTAGTTGTGGTGCTCGATGTCGCTTCAGTCTCTGTAACTGGAGTAAAAAGTGTTTATTACGTATTATAAAATATTTCAAATATTACTTGTTGAGGCTTCATCTGTCGATTCCTCCGTGGATCCAGTACTTTCTTCACCTTCTCCGAAGAGTTTTTGTGTTCCTTGTGAAATGGCATATAGATCCAAAGCAACTTTATCCATAGGAGACATGGCGGTTGTTGTAGGGTCAAAAATTGTTCCAGTAGTATCTTTTTCTGGAGTACTTGCTACTTCTTCATCCCCTTTTTCCGGAACCGGAGATTCTTTTTCAACTGATTCTGGAGCCTTCAAATGAGAAACTGTCAGTTTTTAATTTAATTACTTATTGCGTTAGTCATTTAATTAGCCATACCATCGTAACAAATACAAATAAGGGTAAGTTTGGATTTTCTACGACCTAAACTTTTAATTATGTGTTATAAAATGATTTACTAAAAGGGTTACCTAAACTACCAAACATCTACTTTAGAGGTGATAAGTACTTTTCTAACCTAGTAACCAAATTATACCCAATAATCTATTTTCCACCTTTTGAATAAAAAATAATTCATTTGCCAGAAGGAAGATCTTTGTCTTTATATCAAAATTATTAGAAAGAACTTAAATATCAGCACAAAAGCTACTGTCAATATAAAAAGAGAAAATAACAAAGTAAACAATTAAACAAAATAAATAAAACAGGTTTTGGAGGAACAATGGGGTACAGATATCCTTTTTTTAATAAAAATTGAAGAAATGCCCATTAGTTTCTAAAAATTAAATTGGGTTTCTAGAAATAAAACTTAGTTTTGTCAGCAAATCCTACTCTCAAATTCTTTAAGTCACAATGTGTCGCGTAACCATTGGGTGTTACTATATGGGTGTGCGCTATATAGCAGAGTGTTTCTTCCGGCTTAAATATAGAATATATTTAAGCACAGCTACATGGCAATACAGGCAGGGGTAGAAGGCACCTAGAAACCGGAAAGGGAGCCTGTACTGATCCGTCAAAGAGGGCTCACCTGGTTCACGAATGAGTAAAGAAATACTAGCTGGTAGGTGCTGAAGTATATGGTAGCGGAATCAGATTTGAATCTCGCCAATCTCTCGGCTCCATGCATCAGTCTTTCAGACCGGAATCTTTGCGATCCTGGTATGCGCTTCGGAGATAATAGATAGGGCTTGCTCAAGCAGGACCATTTCCATCTGCTCTGACAGTCAAGCAGCACTAAGTCAGGTCTAAACTGGCTCTTGAGTACAAGAGGGCACTTACTGACTGTTACGCTGACCAAGAGGGTTATAGGCACCGGGACACACAGGCGTGGAATGGAACAGTAAAGGTGACGCCCTGGAAAGACAGGGCTCATATAATATACCTGTTGGACCCTAACCTGTGATTGAAGTGCCTTCAGACACTTGGAAATATGAGACAGGCACGTAGTGGAGCTATCTAAGAGTGTTACAGCACAACTTCTACTTCTAGATCGTAGAAGATGCTGTCTGGTGGTCAGTATGCTTACCGACTACTGTAGACTCAGGCGGCACTTTCATCTGCTTGGATTGGCGGATGGCCGACGGTGATGTCTGTGTAATAAAGAGGACGAAACCTTATTACATTCCCTCTCAGAGTGCTAGGCACTGGCCTATCGGAGGTGGCAGATCCTGGTTTCTGCTGTTATGCAACCGAGCCAAATGAGGGAGTTACCCTTAAACACACTTGTGACTTTCTGTGTCGTCACAAGGTTAGTAAAGGATTGGACGCTCGAAATGACAGAAAAAGTTCAGATTTGGAACTCTCCTGATTATAGCAGATATGATAGGGGCGAAAGAATCGATCCTCCTTAGGAGGTCTGTGTATGAAGAGCTCAAAAATATCCCTGCCCCGATCTACCAGATCCAAAAAGAGTAAACAGCACCCAGAGACCTTCCTAGTTCTTTAAAACCGGCGATTTTAGCGATGGATTTATTCCTCATTTGAAGAAAAAGAAGCAAAATTGGAAAAAACTGGAAATAGCTTCGGATATCTCCTGGAAATAATTCACAAGTAACATTACTACGAAAAAAATAGAGGATAGTTATCGCAGCCCTAGTTAAGATAAGATAATAGGGAGCTTTAAGTTTATGGTAAGTTTATAGAAGCCTAAAAAAACTAAGAACTAAAAAAAGATAGAATAGAAAAAGTAAAAATTTTAATGGAAATTAAAAATATTACCCATGGCCTCCAAATCCTTTTGAGACAGAAAACCTACCAGAAACCTTACTAACGGACTCACTGGTGTTATGCAGTGTACACTGTACATCATAGTATTATAAGATAGGAGCGCAAGTCAGGGAGATTGAGCGGTATAAGTATATATATTACCATAGTGGTCTCAGACTATAACGATTTTGCATAAACATCACCAAAAACCCACAGTAACGAGTCGATATGTAGATGATGTGTTCTCAATTTGGCGTCACGGACTAGAAGCACTGAATAGATTTCTAATGGATATCAACAGCAAAGAAGAATCAATCAAATTTACTATGAAAAAAGAAAACAACAAGTCACTATCTTTTCTGGATGTATTAATCACATCATTTGGATGTGTTAATGTTATTAAAAGTATTCGCAACCAAAGTCTACAGAATACTAACCCACACCAACAGATATCCAAATTAGTACTTAGACCACAACATAAATTTTAAAAAAGGATTTATTAAATCATTATAATGATACAGCCAAAAACATGGTGTAATCAAAATGCATTTCAGGAAGAAAAAAACCTGCTTTTAGGTTTTATCGAAAACCAGTTAAAGATTATCAGAAAAATTAAAAAGGATAAAACGTGAATACAATATCGTAACAATATGTAAAACAAACAATCTCCAAAACCAAACCAAACAACATACAGGAGAGATCCAAGAACTGCAAATATAAAATAACTTGTAAATGCAACCATTTTTATGTAGGAGAAACCGCAAAACCACTAGGTGTCAGGATAAACGATCATGAACCAGACATTAAAAACAGAGACTTTGACAGATATGCAAACATGCCTGGAACGATGAGCAATGGAAAGCTGCCTAAATAGTGATGGAAGAAACACATGAAAAAAGTGAAAAATCAAAGAAGCAGCCCTCATCTTACTTAAAGAAGAAAAATGCTTAGCAATCCCATCAGACTCTGACAGAATGTAGCGGACTCTGGTTGTAAATACTAGAAGAAGTCACCAACAAGAATATACCAACCCTAATGGATTAATAGAAGTTTACTAGCACATTATCAACAATTATACATAATGCACAATGCATAAACATACAATACATAACATCAACCTTAGAATGTTCAATTAAAAACATAGCTATTTGTCTGCAAGATCGGGGTCGGATGTCATCTGTCAAATTTGTCAAAAAACGCCAACTAATAAACAACAATAAGTTGTAATAATAGTTTTACTTTTTTAACATTCTTTACTTTTTGAAAAACTTTTTGTAAGGAAAACTTTTTGAAGTCTTCAGATATAGGTTAAGATAAAAACTAGACGTAGTTGCAGATCTTTCATGGACATGGCATGACAAGACATGGAAAAGGTTCATAATTCAGGAATAATTTGTATATAACTAAGTAAAAGACACGAAATAGTTGGTTTTCTTCTTCAAAGTATAGTACTACCATTGATTAAACTAATTAGTTATATTTGCACTACTATTATTGAGATGAATTAAAGTTTATTCTATGAAATATTGTTAAAAGGTGCATCCTTTTAGTGCATTTATATTATACAATTGATTCTATTTACTGGTAGGTCGTATTCGATGCGCTCGTTGGGTATGGCTCCCAAAAAACGTACCGGTCCTTCAGGAAGTTCTTGAGGAAATGATGGTTTACTTTGGCTGCTTCCTCCATTATGGGTGTTGAAAGTATCACTGTCAACTAAATCCAGAGATGGACGGTGAACGTTGACTCGGTTGCGACCTCTGGACGCCTGAAATCGGTTATATGTATGATTATAATGTTAAAAGAGCTTTCCGTGATTTATTATTTTTAGCTGAATTTTATGACTGATTGTTTAAACACAACAAAGTTTTTCAAAATGATTTTTTTTTATAAAATCTTGATCTTACTTGCGATTCATCAGAAGTAGTGTCGACCTCAGTTGAAGGCAACGCATTCGAATCACCCGCTGGCCTTCCTCTTCCTCGGCCTCTGTTGGGCGCTCCTGTTCCGGCACTGGAGGCTTTTGTTTCCTCTTCAGGCAAGGGAGTGGTGTTTAGATTTCTGCTTCTGTAATTAATCAGTATTCTAAATATTCTAATCGGTTTTTTAATCGATGAAAGTTGAAATTCCGGTTGCCGGTGCAGTTGAATCAATATCAGAAATATTTATTGAATCTAAGAGGAGAACTCTAGTTCACAGAAATTCATTATTGTACATTAAAAACAAATAGTACAATGTTAATCTAATTGATAAGGTATTAGTTAGAAAATTATATAAACACATTTAATATAGAAAGTACAAACTCAACGTTATTAAGATGGATGAGTGCCTGCAATGCCTAATTTTTCTTGTGAATGAATTTTTAAAAGACTCACGAAAATTCTACCAACAGATAAACAGCTACAGAAAAGAATTCAAACCCAGAATAATAGCTTGTAAAGATAGAGACGGTTCTATAATTAGTAACAAAGAACATATACTAAACAGATGAATGAAGATGATCGGCAACCACCCCCCAACCGAAAAAGAAATTAGAGAAGCCATCCGCAACACTGAAAAATAATAAAGCCCCGGTTCGGATAATCTCCCTGCCGAACTTTTCAAAAAACGGCGGCGACCCCCTCCTGAAACACATGCATAAACTGATAACTGCAATTTGGCAACAGAAAGAAACACCCACAGACTGGAAGTTAGGTGTACTGTGTCCTATACACAAAAAGGGAGACATGATGGTGTGTGATAATTATAGAGGCATCACTCTACTCAATATGGCATATAAAGTGTTGTCCAACGTATTGTACAAAAGACTCCTCCCCTACGCCGAACAAATAGTGGGAGGATATCAGTGCGGTTTTCGTCCTAATAAATTAACAATGGACCAGATATTTACAGTGAGGCAGATCCTTGAAAAAACTAGATTTCGGGCGTCGACACCCCACCACATATTTGTTGACTTCAAGCCGCATACGACTCCGTTAATAGAAATAAACTTCTACTACTTACTATGGGTTCTACTATAACTCACAGGTGCAGAGAGCATGATAAAAATCCAAAACGATCTCTCAAGACCCTTCCATTGCAAAAAATGGACTAGGACAGGGTGATGGACTATCGTGTCTCTTATTTAACCTGGCATTAGAAAAAATAATTTGAGAGTCGCAGATTATGCGAATGGTACTATCTTTAACAAATTAGTACAAATTGTCGGATTAAGCAGATGACATAGACATCATAGGTAGGTCCACAGAATCTCTGACTGAAGCATTTCGGTCGTTAAGAGCATCTGCACACATATTGGGGACTAAATATAAATATTCAAAAAGACCAAATATATGTGTTGCACTAGGTCAAGCAACCCGACACCTTCACGAATAATAATTGATGACCTAAAACTGGAAGGTGTCGACACACTTCATTATACTTAGGGTCGCTGCTAACCAAAGATAACAACGTCAGTGAAGAAATTAAAAGAAGAATAGTGCTCGCCAATAAGTGTTACTAATGGCTTAAGAAGACAGATGTCCTCAAAAATGCCTAGAAAAATTAAACTGACTGTATACAAAACACTAATAAGACCAGTACTAACATTTGGTTTAGAAACTTGGACACTAACACAGAATGACCAAGAATTGCTCAAACGTTTGAGCGAAAAATACTAAGACGAATATACGGAGGCATAAAAGAACAAGGTTTGTGGCGCAGGTGATACAATTTTGAGTTGTATAGAAGTTTTGGAGAACCTGACGTTGTAAAATTCATTAAGATAGCACGCCTTAGATGGATAGGTCATGTAATCAGACGAGAGGAAGATGCATAGTCAGAAAAGTTTTTGACCGAAGAGGGCCAATCGGATAACGAAGAAGAGGAAGAGTCTTAGCTACCTAGAAACCTAGAAAGAAAACCTAGACAATGATTTGAAGTTTATCGGAATTAGAGCATGGAGAAGAGTTGCCAGAGAACAGGGGCAAATGGAGGATTGTTCTAAAGAAGGCTATTGGGCTCATAAAGAGCTGTAACGGTAACGCCACTGATGATTTTTAAACGATGGGATAAAGATGGCTTTGTATATATATATATATATATATATATATTATTATATTGATACATGAAATTCCTAGCTGGGCGCTTTTGGCTTATGTATATCTTCTTCTTCTTTCTCGTGCCACTCCTAGCGGAGATTGGAATATCATCATGGCCACTGCGACTTTGTTAGCAGCGCGCCTGAAAAGTTCAATCGAACTACACCCGAACCATTCACGTAGATTACGAAGCCACGATATTTTTCTTCTTCCCACACTTCTTTTGCCCTTAATTTTGCCCTGCATGATGTTTCTTAAAAGTTCGTACTTTTCACCTCTCACAATGTGCCCCAAGTATTCCATCTTTCTAGTTTTTATCTCATTTAGAATTTCGCATCTTTTGTCTAAAGTTTGGAGTACTTGCATGTTAGTGACGCGGTCCATCCATGATATTCTGAGAATGCGCCTATAGCACCACATCTCGAAAGCTTCGATGTTTTTTATGGTCAACTGTTTTAGTGTCCAAGCCTCAACTCCATATAACAGGGTAGAAAAGACATAACACCGCAGCATTCGTATTCGTAACTTTATATTGATGTCACGATTGCAAAAGAGTTTGCGCATTCTATTAAAGACTGATCTAGCGATTTCTATTCTACATCTAATCTCTTTTGTTTGATCAGTATAGTCTGTGATCCAAGCATCTAGATATTTATAACAGGCACACGCTCAATCGTTGTATTGTCTATTACAAGATTAGCTCTGATGTTCTTGTATATATTGATACATAATTAACTGAACAGTGGGACCATTCCCAGGAAATATAATCCAGAAATAAAAAAGCAAGAACAGCTTTCATTCAAATGTCCAAATTTTCCAAAACACTTGATTTTCAAATTAAAACTCAGATTCCTTCTATGCTGCATATTGTCCATCTATTTATACGGAGTGGTGAGTGAGGTAAGATGTAAGATACTACAAGCATTCGACATAATATGGATCTAGAAGAAGGAAAAGTTTAAGGTAAGAGAAAAGTCGGAGAAGGTGATATTGTGGGTAAATAACCCAATAAGTTGGTTTGCAATATCCACCACAGGAGTATTCAGAGCAGCACTGATTAAATTAACATTGCTAGAATGATTACTAACATTCAGTAAAGGAAAGTCACTGAAAAAAAAAGAAATAGAAATAGCCCGTAATCTTTCCTGGTTGATAGTTTCGTCTTCGTTAATTCGTTGGAAGGCGAATATTCTGGGTAAAGAACCCATCAACTTGGTTTGCAATATTCACCACAGGAGTATTCAGAGTAGCAACGATTAAATTGTCATTGGCAGAATGATTGCCAACATTCAGTTAAGAATAGTCACTGGAAAAAGAAGAAATAGATACATGTAAACAAATTTACCTTGGAGGAAACTTGTGTTAGCCGGTAATCTTTCTTCATTGACAGTTTCGTCTTCTCCTAATTGTCTACCTCTTTTTGCAGAAGTTCTCGATGGAAGCACTTCGTTACTTTCAGCGATTGCTTTTTCTTTCTCACTCCTAGTAGGGATTTGGTTTCTTGCGGGACCGTCATGGGCGTTGGTGAACTGTAAAAATATGTTCATAAATTTACTATTTTCATAAACAGTAATAAAAAAAATAGAACTGGTAACCGCTATAAATTTTAAATCAATGAAACTAAAAAAAAACTAATCCAATAAAAAAGATTTTTAGAAATTTTATTTTTATTTGATTTACAATCTAACTATATTTTATTTATTTTATGCCTCTAATTCTTCTTTTTCTTTGCATGCCTCATACTTTGTGTACACTGGCGGTTATTAAGGCCCATTCTATTCTGCCTGCAGCAGTTCTCAGATATCTACAACTGCTTTGTGGACTAGCGAAAATTATTCGGCATATTATAATACCAACAAAATAATGGATGTTCTAACAAAAGCTCAGGTTGATGATAAAAATATTACAACATGTTTACTAGAACCAATCAGCTACGTTAACACCAATCCTGAAGATAAACCGACATCAGCTAACCAGATTCTGAAAGTGGTTAGGCAAGTATACTTTATCTTCTGTCATTGTATACTTTAACCTCTATCATTTAAACTATATTCACAGTAAATATTTAGTAAAGCCTTGGAAAATTGCGAACATGGAATAATTCTAAATGGAGAACTTCCAGTATGCGGTATATACCGCATACACCTCAGTACACTATAAGTAAAAATAAAATTAGAGACGCCCAACTGCTTATCAAGAATTTACCAGTGAACCAAGTAAAACGATTTTCCTATCTTAAAACAATAGTTGAATCCTGGACACTTGCTGAATCTATGGAGAAGAAACTTATAGCCTTTGAGATGTAGCCATGCAAGCAAATCATAAGGATACCTTGAACGGACAAGATAATCAACAAGTACGTACTACGAATAATGCGGAAAAAAAAAAGAAAAGTGAAGTAGATGATTAAAGGAGAAAGATGAAATATCTCGGACATCGAAGGTAATTGGAAAGCGAACAACAATGTCATGCTTAAAAAATCTGAGAAAATGATATTAAACATCAATAAAAACTAATGTTGGACTAGAGCAAGCTTTTCTTGAGAAAACTAAGAGATGAGGTTAGCTTAAACCCAAATTATACCACTGGGTATTATTAATAGACGAGTTTAAACTTATTCATTATTTACTGTGATTATTCCTCGATGTTTATTCATAAACTCATCTACATTAACTTTACTATTATAGATAAGTACCGCTGCGGCCATTGCATAGTTTACACCGTTACATATCTGTAATAGCCGATTTTTAAAATTTTTACCTCGTTTTAAACGCAGATTTTAGTCGAAGTGACTTTTATTATTAGTGGCTGGCCAAAATAAGTTCAAAAATCAAAATTAAAAAATCAAAAATAGATTTATTTTACAAAATGTAACAAAATGGAAATTATAGAAAGGCGTTTTTTTTTTAATTGAATATGTTCTTAATAACAAAAATAAGAAAGTCTGTGTTTAAAATATTTATTTTATTTTAAATAATGATAACAGTATCACAATTAATATTTGGTGGAAGCCACATTATTGTCAGTATTGCAATCTTCTGTTTATATAGAAAGGGCAAATCTTCTCATGTTACATTCAACAGATTTCGCCCATGCCTGCTTAATTATTTTCCGTAGTTCAATTCTATTCTGCGGCCTAAGGTTTCTTTCATATAATTTATTTGTTAACTCACACCCACACATTTTTGATGGAGTTAAGGTCTGGAAGGAAATTAACAGAATGTAATAATATCATCCTGTTAATTTTTCTTCTACTAATACCGTTCAAAGTAGGTGATATTTTATTGATGTTGGAAATTATCTTTGGTATTAGAGTTTATTGTTAATATTATTTGTTGATTTGGAAATTTTTCAGTTAAAATGTTGTTAAGCCGAACCTGCTATATAGGCAGATTCAATTAAATAAGCAATAGCAGGGTTAAGACACGTTTTGTATAAGAATATATTGATTAATCAAAATACAAAATAAAATTATATAAAAAGACTTTGATATACTACTTTTTCAATGAATTTTATTTTAATTTACAAATTAGGGAAACTTGTTGAAGCTGAATATAATTTATTGCGATGTAGCCACAATTTGCCTCATCTGTGTTATTTTTGCATGATGATGAATGAATTACAGCAAGACCAAAACTATAACAAATACAGATGAAGACATCACAATAAGAATCGAACAAGATGAAATAGAACAAGTTAAGGATTATATATATCTTGGTCAAACTATAAAACTTAACAAAGAGAACCAAACAGCAGAGATCAAGAGACGAGTTAGACTGGCATAGGCGGCATTTGGCAAACTAAGCTACATTCTTAAAAACAAAAGATATCTGTTCTTACTTATAGTTCCCAAACTTGGACATCTACAAAAGCAAACATGGACAAAATTATAAAAACCCAAAGAGCAATGGAAAGACAAATGTTGCACATAAGACTAATGGATAAGAAGAGAAACGAGTGGATAAGAGAGGAAAACAAAAGTGAGGGATGTTAGACAAGAAGTTGAAAAATTGAAATGGAGATTTGCCGGCATAATATAAGACAAAAGAAGACCGATGGAACAAAAATTCTTATAAGTTGTAGACTGTGGGAATATAAACGAAGCAGAGGAAGGCCCCAAATGATATGGGCAGATGATATCAAGAAACACGTGAGATGGATGACTGTAGCGATAGACAGAGAAGAATGGAAAATGATTGGGGAGGCCTATGTCCAAAGATGGACCGAAGATGGCTAATTAGATAGATAGATAATGTTATTTTTGGGTTAATTTCCTTTTATATTAGTACGGTTGAACATTTTCAGTTTAATATTGTGTTAGTTAGATCAACATTCATACATCCAGATTATCTAGCAGGCTGGAAAAAAGGTAACATTATCAAACTTCTGAAAAAGGGCAACCTTCTACTATACCGAACCTGAAGAGGAGTAACCTTGCATGGTACAATGAATACATTGTATTGAGTATGAGTACATTGTATTGATTGTACCATGGTAACCTTGCTTATTGTTATAAATGAAATTTTCAAGACCATGATACTAAAAAGATCAACCACGTTGAATCTAGAGCAGGATTTAGAAAAAAATATGCGGAAAAGTCTGGAACTAAAATGCATCCCGCAAAAAATAATTATAAAGTCACATACACTGTAATTACATACATTAAAAGTAATGAATTTGGCATTCATACTGGAGTGAGACAGAAATGCATGCTTTCTCCATTTCTATTCAATATAGCTATAGACTACGTTTTCTCCAAACTATAATTCATTTCAAGAGGCATACAATGGACGTTAACCACAAGTCGAAACAATCTGGAACACGCTGATGAGTTCTGCCACTTAAGGAAAAGATTTCAAGATATGACTGACCAATTGGCAAGACTTTCCAATGAGGCCAATAGTAGGTTTTGAAAATTAATATCAACAAACCGAATCCATAAGAAACCATGCAAGAAATAACATACTACAATTTTACATACCTTGGAACTGTGATATAACAGAAAATAGAGGTACGGAAGGCGATATTCGTATGAGAATACGAAAGCACAGCAAGCATTCAGCGTCTTCAGCTCCATTTGGAGATCTGGCATTCTGGTCTATGGATGTGAAACCCAGAAAGTGACCAAAATTGTTTATCGAAAAACTGCAGGTCTTTGTTGACAAATATCTATAAAGAATTGTTCATATTTTTTGGCATAACTCCAAAAGAAACGAAAATCTGCGACACCTGCCCGAAAGAGAAGGGAATTCTTCTTCTTAGAGTGCCGTCTCCCTACGGAGGTTGGCAATCATAATGGCTATTCTTATTTTAGAACTTGCTGCTCTAAACAAATCAATCGATCTGCATTTGGTACCAATCACGTAGATTCTTTAACCATGAGTTCTGCCTTCGGCCAACAGATCTTCTTCCTTGAATCTTTCCTGTATTATCAGTCTCAAAATTTCATATTTTGGTCCCCTCATCACGTGGCCTAGGTATTCCAGTTTTCTGGTTTGTATAGTGGTGATTAGTTCTGTTTCTTTACCAACCCTCTCCAGTACTTCTTTATTTGTAATTCTATCAGTCCATGATATTTTCAATACTCTGCGGTATAACCAGAGTTCGAAGGCCTCGATTCTTTTTAAATTACATTTTTTTAATGTCCAAGTCTCAGCTCCATATAATAATATTGAAAATATATAACAGCGAATGGTACGTAGTCTGATCTCCAAATTTAGATTTTTGCACGTTAGGAGTGGCTTCATTCGTATAAATGCTGATCTGGCAATCTCTATTCGTTGTTTATTTCTACAGTATGATCATTGGTTTCATTGATCAAAGTTCCCAAATACTGATATTTTTCTACTTGTTCTATCACGTTACCATTTATTGTCAATAGGTGATGTATATTTTGTGGCCTTTTTGTAATCAGCATGTACTTCGTTTTTTTGGCGTTTATAGTAATTCCCATCTCAGCACTATTTATACTCAAGCTTTCGATAAGATGTTGTAGATCCTCTATACTCGTTGCTATGATCACAGTGTCGTCTGCATATCTTAAATTATTAATTAATTTTCCGTTAACGGTGACTCCCGCTTCGATATTATTGAGCGTGTTTTGGAAAATTTCTTCAGAATATAAGTTAAACAAAAGTGGTGATAACACACATCCCTGTCTAACTCCTCTACAGATCTTCATTTCTTCTGAGTGTTGCCCATCAATTTGAACTATGGCACTTTGGTTCCAATATAATGTTTGCACTATATTTATGAGTTTACTGTCAATGCGCTTGTTCATAAGTATTGATATTAGTTTTTCATGTCTTACTTTATCGAAAGCTTTTCGTAGTCAACGAAGCACAAGTGTAGATCAACATTCACATCCCGACATCGCTGAATTAATATGTTGATGGCAAATAGTCCTTCTCGAGTACCCATTCCATTTCGGAACCCGAACTGCGTCTCGCTAATATCCTCCTCTAGCCTTTCGTATATTCTCTTATGTATTATTTTTAGCAGAGAAGGGAATAGAGAATGAAATAAAGTTAAGAAAGTTTGGTTGGATCTGCCACACATTTTGTAAATATAGCTCATATAGTGTAAAGACTGTCCTAGAGTGTAAATCTATAGATAATCCTTATACTTACCGTCTTAGTTTTGTTATCATCGTCGTCATCGTAGTAATAATAATAAACATACTCGTACTCATACTCTTGACCATTGGGTCCTTTTTTAATTTGTATCCTGGACCTCTGTTTATCGCTAGCTGCACCAAGAAGAGGAATATCATCTACGACGGCTTTGGGGACGGCTTTTCCTGTGGTTAGGACGGGACTAGGACTGGTAACTTCTGTTCTCGAAGAAATTGCTTTCTTTACCCTTTTGTTTGATCCACCTCGTCGACGTTGGACCTTCTTGGTAGTTGATTCGGTTTTGGGAGGAGATGTTGATGTTGAAGTTACACTTTGGTATCTGGAAAATAAAATTCAAGTTAAAATCTTCATTGATTTTTATCTATTTATTTTTAGGCTCTTAGTAAAATGTTATATCAAAACAAATGAAATTTAAAATTTATAAGTGAAAGTAAATATGCTGATCAGACCCATGGAATATAAATTTATGAATTCAAAATATTGTAGAGCTACAGAGAAATTACGCTTCTAAATGCAGCGTATAAAGTATTCTCCACTATACTATGCCACTGTATAGCACCAAGTAAAGAACGAATAATAGTAAAATACCACGTTAATTTCAGAGGGGATAAATCGATAATAGGGAGACACTCTTTCCTGTATTCTGTTCAATCTGGCACTGAGAAAAGTAATACGTATGTCACAAATAATAACCACTGGCTCAATATATAACTTCTTCTTTACATGCCATTCCCGCGACGAAGATTATGAATCATCACTGCTATTCTAACTTTTGACACTACAGCTCGAAAGAGTTCAGTTAAGCTGCATTCAAAACGATTCTCTGAGGTTTCTCAGCCAGGACTTCTTCTACTCATGCTGCGCTTTCCTTGAACCTTTCCTGCATCACTAGTTTTAGGAATTCATATCTGTCACCACGTGTTATATGACCAGATATTGTAGTTTTCTTATTTTGATGGAATCCAGTATCCCCCTGCTGTTCTCTATTCTTCTTAGTGCTTCTTCATTGTTTATTCTGTCTGTCCAGTAGATTCTCAGCATTCTTCGATATGTCCACATTTCAAATGCTACCAATACGAAAAACTATATAATTTTGTTTTGAAAATTGGACTGTAGCATATGGATTAGGAAGTTGTGTAAAAACAGAAAAAGGAAAGCGTGCCTCAGAGCACTTATGACAGTTAAGATGGAGATTAGTGTTCTCTTTCTATTGTGTTCAGCTGCCTAATTGTGTCATTGTTTACAGTTATATTGTAGTAGAAAATGGATTTTCGAAGCCGAAATAAAGTGAAGATCAGCGAAGAGCAACAATGGACATTTACAGAATCGGTCGAATCAGATGTGGAAACTAATTTCAGTAGCGACGATGATGTGAACGATCCAGATTTTGTGTTTGATGAAATATCCCCCGAGGATGAACAGTATATTTCACAGGTGGTTCGGCAAATAGATGAAGACGAATCTGCTTTCGTCAATCAAGTGGCTGACTTTTCATTGAACTTGAGTGCAGTCGACGAAACACTTCCATTAGCTTCGTCAACATTATTTCCTGAACAGAATGTTTCGCACGAAAAGGTTGTTACGACAGAAGAAAAAGATCAATACGACGTGCCATCAACTTTAACACCGCGTTCTTCAAGAAACTGAAATGACCTCGTTCTCCATTGCCCGAAATCGAAATTGCTGGTCAATCAATTGTGCCTTCTGGTTTCACTGGTGCAGGTATGAATTGTTTTGACATAAGAGTATTTATGAGTTTCCTAAACTGGTATTATAACTTATTCGCAGGTATTGAATCAATGGTTAAAAATTCGGCTGAGTTTTCCAAAATCGTATGGCGAAAACAATCAATGTGTTTTCATGTCAATCAAGTAGCCTTCCAGGGTGCCTTAAGCGTACCATCGTCCATAAAAGAGCTTGAGAGACCGATGGAACTATTTTGGTATTTTTTCACTAAGGAATTGGTTGACTTGATTGCATTTGAAACAAATCGAGCAGCTCGCCAAGCCGAAATCAACACAAAATTCAGTACTACCAGTGAAGATATATTTAGATATATTGGCGTTCTTATTTACATAAGTGTTTACCGTTATCCCAATTTGAAAAGCTATTGGGACCAAAACAGGTTTCAAGCAATAGCAAAGACAATGCCCAGAGGAAAATTCATGGCGGTAAAACATTTATCTCTTCGTGATGAAAGCACTCGAGTCAAGACAGGCGAACCCAGCTACGATGCATTGTTCCGCATTAGAACATTGGTTGACATTCTAAACACTCGATTCGATTCCGTCTCGAAGACTGCTGGATTGTGGATCGACGAACAGAAGTGCAGCACCAAAACAAAACATCATTTGTGCCAATACATGACAAATAAACCACACAAGTGGTCACAAACAATTCCAGACTTCGTTCATCACATCTTGTATTTCGATAATTGTTATACATCGTTGCCTTTGTTGGTATTGAAATTATTGTTGGCAGCGAAAACAGCTTGCTACGACCAAAAGGTTATCACCCGAAACAATCACCCCATTTCATTGACATGGCTGTAACTAATGCATACATACTGCATAAACGGATCCACCCGGAAAAGTTAACGACTCAAGTAATGTCTCTGCCAAAGAACGGGTATTGCGATTACCACAATTTCGTGAAGCAGTTGCCGCTTCTCTGGTAGCCTACCAAGAAAATCAGCCTGTTGTTCGTCCAAAACCATCAACACCGCGACCATCAACTTCCATAGATCCAAAGCCAGGCAGCTCGAGCGTTGGTCAAAAGTCGAAACATCCACTTCCTGAAGTGAATTTCGACGGTCAAGACCATTTCCCAATCTGGCTCGGTAAAGAAGGTGGAAAAAGATGATGCAAATTGTGCAAGAGGTCACAAACGCAGTGTATTTGCTCAAAATGCGATCTCCATTTATGCTGTTCCAACGCCAAAAACTGTTTTTCTCGATTACCACACTAAAAAAATAATTAATTTCATTTATCTTTTGTCATTTATCTTCATCTATTTATTATATTATTCTTTTATTTCTTAATAAACAACATTTTTTATTGATAATTCTACCTAACTCTTGTCTTGTATACGTGCTCTTATATTCGGCCTAAACTGTCATACGTGCCCTAAGGTACTTTTTTTATCTTTTGTCTACCTGACATATCTGGAAACGAGCAAGCCACCTCTGGATAATTTTTTTGGGGTTTTTACTCGCTAGTTATACTAGAAAAAAAATGCCATTTATTTTTTTTGACGTTGAGAGTTTTGACTGTTAGAGGATTAAAAAACCTTTTATTCCCTAGAAGGGATGGCTTTTAAATGTGGTAAATAATATCAAAATTTTCAAGGAAATCGGCTTGGGATAAACATTTTTACGCAAAAACGACGTACAAGAGAAATGTTTTCTGGTTATTACTTACTTAGCTAGCAAGGCTTTTACATCAATTTTTGTTGCTCCTGGAGGCGGTGGTGCTGGAGCAGTTACTTGGGTAGCTCGTTTAAAAATCTTCTTTCCCTTTTTCAACTCTTTACCATGAACTTCTTCAGCTTCTTCATCTTCCTCTAGTTTATATCTCAGTGAAGGCGGTAACTTATGAGATGTTTCGAATTCTTTTTCCGCTGAAATGTTTTTTCGTTTCGAGTTACTGGTTTAGCTTCGAGATTGGTGGACTGTACGAACACGTATTCCTCTCCAGGTTTTGGTTCTGTGATTAGATCTGATTTGGATGGGTACGTTGCGGCGAGGGCTAGAGTTGCAGAAATTAATCTGTAAAATAAAATGCGAATGTTACTTTTATTTTTAAAATGATAAAAAGTTGGATAAATAATTGATTTGATATACATACAAATAATTAAATATGCAAGAGGTTCAAAATTCCAGAAATGTGGATGTTTGGGAAAGTATGTAGTATTTATTTTCATATTTTACATTTTTTTACTTTCCTTGACTGTACTATAATATGATCTATTTTAATGGTATATCCTAACTTATTTGCTTTAAAATATATTGTTTCCGTGCTCGTGAAGGATATTTTTAAGTTGTTGATTTTTCGAAAGTTAACAGGCCGATGTTCTGTTACTTCACCGTTTTTACAACCCAATCTTATTTATCTTGTTCTCTTTTCTCCTCCATACTTATTCGTTATTTTCATGCATCGTCCTTATGTATGCTACAAAATCGCTTCAGGAAACTCCCGAATTTCAAAGAGACATATGTTTCTTATATTATATATGATTCTTTTCTCCAAAATTGCTAGCTTGGACGCCAATCTATATGACGTTCGAGGTGTGTCGCTAATCGACGCTTTTTATACTGGTCTAAAAGTCTAATTTTCGATATTTTCGTTGTTATTTTATTTGCGATATAAAGGAAACGTATCGACAAATTAAAGTGAATAAGGAATTTTGGAACTATCAAAGAGGTTCTCTGAAGATCAGACTTTTTTAAAACTCTTCAAGAGTTTTTCTACGTACCGTTACTTACGGCACTTCTTCGTTTTATTTCGCTTAAAAACTCTACAAGAGCAACTATCTTATTTACTCACCTTCTGGAGTGAGCACTCGCTTAGCTTTTAAGCTCGATGGTTTTTCGCTAGACAAATCAACAACGTCAGCAACCATTTTCATTTATTTTCAAGGCTTTGGCTCAGATATTTTGACCTGTTGTTCGCTGACAAAGAGAAACCTTCCATTTTTACGGTACTGGACCTAAAATGGAATCATACGAAGAACTTCTTTTCTTATCCTTCTCATCCCTTCGACAAACCTTGTACAAAGCTGGATATTCGTTCGTGAATCAGTCGTATTTTTGTTTCTATCCTTTTGTTTTTATTCTTTTTTTATGTCTTTTTGCTAGTCAAACGTCTTCTACAACCGTTGTGATACTTCAATGTATACTGGAATGATAAAACATCTGAACAGACACAACTAACCTCTGTACTTGTATGTTTTACATTTCTAGTGTTATTTCCACACAAGAATATCTATCACAAGATCGGAGCTCTTGGCAGCTATACTGCTGACTGATCTAGTCACTTTTGTCAACAAGTCTCGTCCAATTTTCATGCTCGTTTTGATTCAACAAGATTGGAGCTCTTGCCAACCATATTGCTAGCTAATCTAATCACCTTTGTCAAAGGGTTCTCCTTCCGATCTTTCGTTATTTGATCTGACTCGACGATTGCGCTCCCTTGAGCTAATTTTTCTACCCATAAATTGTCAATCGTATTAAACACATACAAGAACTGATACCACACTCTACTCGGCATTATATGCCTTCTAATCAAAACCTCTCTGATTGTGTTAGTCGTGTTTTATCACCGGCACAATTGTTACAATTTTCACCAAACTGGCATTTTCCTACAATGGAACTCGTCGAAATATCATTACTCCCCGTTTGTCATTGAAGACGTTCTTATGAAATGCGAGACCACGCCAAGATTTCGACGCTGTTCTTCTTCTTGTTTTTCGCACACCACGGAATTCTTATAGGAAAAAGGGCCAACGGTATTGTGTTTGACACAGTCTTCTTAGTTTAGTAGGTCGAAAAATTCTACTAATTCGACGCTATTCTTTTCTAATTCATGGCATTGTACGCGTTTATCAATCTGATCACAGTTTCAGATGGCATCCAACAATGTCCTGTGGTCAAAATATGACCACAGCTTATTTGTCAATCCATATTTTATTCTTACTTACTTTTTTATTAGTATATCGATCTTTTCATGTCTATTCTTTATACTTATACTTTCAGCTGTTCTTAAAAACGTTCGTTTTTGGAGTGGAAGAATGTTTGGGAAAGTATGTAGTATTTATTTTCACATTTTACATTTTTTTTACTTTCTTTTACTGTACTACAATATGATCTAATTTAATGGTATATCCTAACTTATTTGATTTACGATATATTGTTTCCTGTTATTCAGTAAAATCGCATTGTTAAACTGGCTAGCTCATTTATTCTGTTTTAAGTTCAGAGAATTTAACTTTCTCTTTTGTTATTTTTGTGTCGCAAATACACACAAAAAGTGTAAATTATGATATTACTGAGACCATTAAATTGGATTGTCGCTATTCAGAAGCGCCCTACAATAGGGTTGATTTATGGGATGCACTTGTCCCATGAACCATCTAATGGTCAGATGGTTCTTTCTGACCATCTCAAACACACTTCCTACTGACACAGCATACAGTAAGCACGGGACGTCCGTTCTTCTGTGCCTTGAATGGCGTCGCGATGGTCAACGCTACCAATTTACTCCACTGGCTACGATTAAATATACGAATATACCAAGGGGTAAGTCTATGTTCTTTGTACAGTTAACAGTAATGAGTTAAAGCTAGTTAATTCTCGTAATTTATATTTATTTATTTTTACGCACAACAGGCCATTAAGGCCTAGGACATTTTATTTACAACATAATCCTAATATTAACTAATTACAATTATTTTAAACAAAACTTTAACTTAAATATGTATATATAACATTTTTAACTGCTCTGAAGGACCTGGTGTACAATATTTCTCCATTCGCTTCTATTTTGTGCTTTTATTTTCCAGTCCCTCACCTTCACGTGTTTAAGGTCTTCTTCCGCTTTACTAATCCACCTCGTTCTGGGTGTACCTCTTCTTTTGGGGCCAACTAATTTTCTGGTTATTACTAGTTTAGGCATTCTGTTTGCTGCCATTCTTTCCACATGACCCAATCATCTGATTCTTTGTGCCTTGACGAACTTGGTAATGGTAGGTTCTTTGTATAAAGCCATTAATTCATTGTTTGTTCTTCTGTCCCAACCATCTTCTGTCTTCCGTCCTCCGAATATGCGTCTCAATATCTCCTTCATATCTTTTCAGAGTATCCTCTTCCTTCTTATTTATTGTCCATGTCTCGTCGGCATATGTTACTGTGGGTTGAATTACTGTTTTATATATTCTGAGTTTACCTTGTCTTGAAACGTATTTTGACTTCAGTAGGGCTCTTAAACCACCTAATTTTTTATTCCCATTTGCTATTCTGGCTTCGAGCTCCCATTTCTCTTTTCCATTTTCATCGAAAACTACACCCAGGTATTCAAATTTGTCCACCCTTTTAAAACTATAGCTTTTACCACTTACTGACCTCACACTAAAGTCTTCTTTTTTCCCTTCTGTCCCTCCCATGATCATATATTTGGTTTTGTCTTCATTTAGTTCCAATCCGAATTTCTGTGCTTTTTCGATATTCTTCACGACTCTTCTTAATTCTTTCTCGGTTTTTGCTAGGATCGTTAAATCATCAGCAAATGCCAAGCACTGGTGCTCATTTTTCATGATCGTTTCTTCCACCTTTATGCTGCATTCTCTGATTACAGTTTCTGATACTAAGTTGAATAATGTAGTGGATAAAGGATCTCCCTGTCTCAAGCCTTTTGCAACCGTAAATTGATCTGATATGTGACCCTGCCAAGCAATTTCACACGTAGAGTTATTAAGTGTCATTTTAACTAGTCGGATTAGTTTCTTTGGTATACCCAAATGTTCCATTGCTCTATACATTTTGACTCTATCGACTCTATCATATGCTTGTCTAAAATCCACAAACAAAACATGCAGGGAACTTTACCTTCATAACAAGTCGTTTGTATCGCCTTTAATGAGAAGATTAATTCTCGTAATTTATTCACAACAATATTTGCTATTTGCACTAATTTATTTACCGTGAAAATATTGCATTTTTTCTCTATTATTATTTCTAAATTTATTTAACCAGCAACTTCTAAGTTTTACACAAAACAGCGGAAAAAGGGCAACAGTCTTTAATCATAAGTTCTTCATTAAGACTTTTAATTCAACTCGTATAATTTTAATGTACACAATACAATTTCTCAGACAATTAATTTTAAAATTTAATTAAACAAACAATGATTCATTAATAATTCTTCTTTTCTAATCGGATATCATTCAAATTGGCCTCTTATTATTAGCAACAACAGATAATTAACATTGAAAATAGGTAACGCTTAGTTGGTTATACCATTATTTGAAGATTCTCCCATTCAGTTTCTCTTTCTGTTTACAAAAGTAAAAGGTTTATTAGATTTAATTGCACTTTTTCCATTTGTTATGCTGCTACTTTTCGTAAAAGGATATTTATGTCATGTAGAAAATTAACATTGATTTAATTTCTAAGTGAGTTTGGAATATGTGCGGTTGAAATATGCGATGCCAGCTGCAAAGAATTTTATTGGCTTTTTAACTAGGCTGTGGTAATTGCAAAAAACTGAATACCCTAATAGATGCGTACATTTTGCTTTAAGTATTGTGTTTTGCCAATATTTACCAAGAGATCTAAACGTGATCAAATATTTTAATTACAATTATACTTGTTGAGCATATACTTATTATGTGTATACTTATTATAAAGGATATTTGATATTTATTTAGATAGGAATCGTAATATATAGATAAAATCAAACTTAGCATAGCATAGAAAAAGAAAGAAATCAGAAGATTTTAATCAGATTATATTATATTTTTATGAACGAGAGAGTAATTAGCATAATTTTAACTGGTATCTCCGACCACTCCATGGGCGTGCTCAAGATTAATTGAAAAATTACTTTGAATAATTGTAAAAAATA